ATTACGGTAAAAAGGCCATGGAGTGGTACGCCGCCAACAACGTGCAGGTGGTTCCCAAGGACAAGAACCCTCCCAACACGCCAGAGCTCCGCCCAATTGAGAAATACTGGGCTATTGTCAAGCGGAACCTAAAGAAGACCAAAAAAACTGCTAAGGGCGAGCAGCAGTTCAAGGCAAACTGGCTTTCTGCGGCGAAGAAGGTGGACAAGGTGGCTGTACAAAATCTGATGGCAGGGGTCAAGCGTAAGGCCCGGCAATTCGGATTTGGAAAAGCGGAAGCCTAACTGAATATTTTTCCTGAATTTTATACTAATTGAACTTGAAAAAGAAATTTAATTTGATTTTTTAAATAAACGATTTCACCGATTTACACGCGTTTTCCCTTGACCAAATTTTGACCGTATCACCCTTTAGCATCCCTCAATCTATTTTTCACTAATTTTAATCTATCTTGAGCAGTTGGTGGTCGATTATTTCCACATTTGGGAAAACCAATTTCCCAAATAGCAATTTTGGTTTTATGGCTGCCTTATTGGCCATGATTTGGACTCATCGAATGCTGTAAAACCTTGATAAAACTTGCAATACTACTTGGTTTCAGTCCATATGACAATAATTTAGTTTGTACAACTCATCTTCATCTGGTTTCCAGTGCTAGGTTACTAAAATCAAACGAGATGACTTCTTCTGTAATCTGGTTTTATATTTAATTTCGTGTCATCAACTTTTCTATAGTTTGCAGAACGTATTTGACATTTTCAGTTCGCTAACTAAACATCAACTAACCAACTTTACCAGTTCGGAAGATCGCTGATCCATTCAGAATTTGTCCAGGTTTCAGAGCGTTTCCAATTCATTAGCACTCTAATCTTCTCAGAAGATCAGATAACTTCAGAGGATTTTAGTGAACTCAAGAGAAGTCTTGGAAATTGAAGAGAAATTTCTTGAAATGCAGAGAAGATAAATTGACTTCAGAAAAATTCAGTGAAATTCAGAGCAGCAACAGGGAACTTCAGTGTAGTTTGGAGAATCACAGAAAGGTTCAGGAAACACGTCAGAGTGGTTTTTTGAAAACTTCAGAGTAACTTACGAATCTCACGAAAGCTCTTTGGATATATTCAAAAGAACCTCATGGTGATATTTTTAGATATGTTCAAACGGAGCACAGAGTAGTTTAGGGTCCTTCCACGAAATTTAGAAAACATGGGAAAGGGTAAGGAATTACTTCACTTTGTGTCTGCTCGAAAGTATTCAAGATAATCATCAACGACGCCAGCTGTAGAAACTACATTTCTCCTGACCAACAAGGTTTTCACCCTCGTTCGGTCTCAACAAACCTCGCTCCTTTCATTTCCCTATGACTACGGAATATGGAGGCAGGTGCACAGGTGGACGTTGTATATATGGATCTAAAGGCTGCTTTCGACCGGGTTGATCATGCCATTCTACTTGCCAAACTCGAGAAGCTAGGTGTCTCTCAAGGACTCACTCGTTGGTTTGAATCGTATCTTACCAATCGAGAGCTTTTTGTGAAAATCGGCTCTATATCAATCGGAATATTTTTCAAACAGCTCAGGCGATCCTCGAGGCAGCAATTTGGGACCGCTGCTATTCTCGATATTCATTACCGAAATTGGTTTGATACTTCCAACTGGCTGCCGGTCATTCTATGCAGACGATGCTTGCGGTTGCAGCACCTGATCAACGTTCGTGATCTAGGAATTACACTAGATTCTGCATTGACATTTAAGCTACATTACACGGATATCATAACCAACGCTAACATGCAACTCGGATTCATCTTTAAGATCTCTGATTCGGGATCCTACCTGTCTGACAGCTCTATATTGTCCTCTAGTGCGATCTCTTAGAATTTGGTGTAGTAGTATGGTATCCGTATGCCACAGTTTGGATAGCGAGGATCGAGTCTGTTCACCACCTTCCACCCCACGAAGATCGTTGCCAACTCCTGGGTATGGAAACTCTTCAACGTAGCGAAATCGACTCTTCCGGGATTTTGGCTGAATTCGAAATCCATGTAGGGTAAATGTTGGCTTCGGCACCCATTGACTGTTTTCGGCAACCAAAATTTAAACGTTAATTTCACTATATTTTCCCATCAACCCACTTCCCTGAATGTATCCAAACGATTGTTTAGCCTGTCAGCTTCAATCTGATTATATTTGTACGATCGAGCAATCCAGTAATGCCACATTTTTCTTCAAATGAAGCATACGCACTACAAAATGAGGTCGATTTCGAGTTGCCGATAATAGAACAGCTGGTTAACACGCAGTTCTAATGGGAACGTTGCCGAAGAAAAAGAGGCTGCCGACAATAGTCACACTCACCTGAGAAGTTTGGAGGGTTGTAAAAACGCTTTCAAAACGTTTTGAAAAATTCTGTCGATTGGAATGGATAGAGAAGCAAACAGCAGATGAATGTAAACAAACAGACACGTCATATATGTGCGTGACGCTGAGAAAATGCTAATAGAAGTGCGGACGCTGCTTAGATTGACGAGAATACGTAAATTCCCCTACATGAACGAGTGCTACGATCGAGGGGTTTCCTGCATCTCGGACCCCGAGCAGCTAATTACGGATTGCATGATCCAAAACGGTTCATTCTCTCTGTTTATACTCTTTAGTATGACGCGCTTGACATAGATGGCCTGCAGCGACTCACGAAGAGCTACTGATTCCGATCAATAGCAGTGCGGCTTCTTCCTCCTTCTATGATTGGTCATGTGGGCTGCAGCTCGGTGCTTGCAGGCAGCCTTTCGTTGTGTACTGGAGAACACTAGCCCTAACCATGCGGTGATTGAATAAACACCGTTTGGTGAGACCGGATGGAATTCAACTTTGAAATCCGTGTTAGGGAAATTGCTTTTCACAGGCAATCGGTGATAATTTTATTTATCATAGCAACAGTTGCACATTTTGAAAAATGATAAAATCTTAATTTTAACAGATGTGTAGAAATATTTCTGATCGATTGGTGATAAATTTTGATTGAAATTGGTCCAGGGGCAGCTGAGTTATTAACGTTCAAAATCTTTCATAATTTCGTTACATGTTCCATTTTCGTTTTTCACAAAGTGTACCCCCATAAAGAAATCACAAACGTAGTCCTACGTCAAAAAGTTATGAATTTGCGTTAAGCCACCCTCCAGTTCGTTTAGAGGTCGCGCAAATGATTTGAAATTTGTATGTAAATTACTATGGAAGAATTTCAAAAATCACTTATATCGCTCTAGCTGTCCAAATGTTGAAATTTTTTAACTTGTTGTTGTTATGACAATGACGAAAAAATCCATTGTAGTTACGATCAGTTTTACAGCATATCAAGAAAGGTAGAAATGCGAAAATAAATGACAAAATAGGGTAGAGTTATTTTCAGCAAAAAAACTATTGAAAAGGGGGTAAATGTCAAGCATTGTTCAAAAAACTAACAAATCCGCTAATTACGTACATGCTGCTTCCCCAACACAGTCATCAGAGAATCGTTTCTAGACGAAACATGTCGATGTAGCATTGCTGCTTCCCCAACACAGTCATCAGAGAGTCGTTAGTGGACGAAAAAAGTCAAAGTGGCATTCGCCTCCAATCTTCGGATGTGCGAATAGGGAAGATGCAATTGCGTAACATTTTGCACAGTCATCGCCATATTCAGAACCAAACGCCCCCAACGACAACACAAAATGCTCTTCAGAGTTGTAATCTTGTAACCAAACTGCGAAGCCGTGCAAGTGATTTTGATCGAGTCTCTTTATCGACTTTTTAAGAGATGAACTAGCCTATGGCTAATAATCTCTTCAATAAAGAAAAAAAAAAAAAAATTATCGACTTTCAGTTTTGTCAATAACTCGACGGCAGTTATTTTTTTTTTTTTTTAATGGAGCGCCCTAATGAAGATCTTAAGATCTTTAACTATTCAACTGATGAAGTTCATTCTGAAGATCTTAAAAATTTCAAAAATTCAAATGACGTTGCTCAGATATTCTCCTAAGGCAGCAGGTTGACCAGGAAGTGTCTCCAGCGGATCCTCTGGTTTTTTTCAATGCTTCAGGTTGATCAAGTATTATTGTGAAGATCTTCAACTGTTCTTAAATTTAGATGTCATCTCTCAGATATTCTCCCAAAATGGCACGTTGATCAAGAAGTATTCATAACATCTACAGCTAACCGAAAATGTCAGTAAAGTTCAAAACGTGAAATGTCTTCAAAATGTCTGCTTAGAAAAAAATCTTCAAAATCAAAACTTTGACTTCAAATCAAATCTGGCGTCCTTGAGTCCGAAGGTGTTTTCGAAATTGAACTGTTTGTTCACCTTTCTCCGTGCCTTCGTTACTCTTCGGATGTTGAGTATTTTGTTTTCTCGAAGCAGACATTTATTCAGTGCCTGTCCACATCACACATAAAACACTTGTTTGCAATTCCATCGTTTGCATTTTAAAATTCCACTATTAAATAAAATTCCACTGATGTCAGGTGAAAAGCAAAGAGTTGTACTTCCACATGGAATTTGGTTCTTTAATTTTGAAAAATTGATCGATTTTTATACATTATCTAAAAGAGTTTCTTTTTCGGAGCACGACTATGTTTTTTTCGAACCCATAGACTTTCATATCGATTTTCAAATCAAGATCTAATGCTAAATAATAACTTCACTGTTAGACTAACAGCACGCTCCTATAAATAGTTCCACCGAGGGGCACTAAGATGGTAATTTTTACTAATATAATCGTGCTTATTTAAAAAAGTTTCAAAATTGGTGAAATTTAGTATTTCAGTTCCATTTGACACGCAGATTACGAATATGCAATCAACTCAATACCCCTAAAGAACCCAGTTGACCATGATCGAAGAATTACCCGAACACAGACCAAGCAGTTCATCCATATTAGCACATTCTTGCAGGAATCAAAGGAAATTCCGACCGCTAAGTAGCGAGAAAAAAAATACCAACCCACCAATTAGCACCAATTTAATACTTACTGCAAACAATCTGCTGGGAGCACACCTGTAGCATTTCGATCGACCCGTCTTCGTTCGTAACGGTCGTTCGAAACACCATTCGGCAGCGGGTGGACTTCTTTTTGGCCCGTGGTCCACTTTGGTCCGGAAATCGATGTTCCACGTCGACGTTACGTTCCTTCAGAATGCCAACGCAGTCGCACGTTACTGTCATCTCATTTTCCGGCTTCATGTCCACCTCGATGACCATAGTACCCTCGAGCTTGCGTTCGACGCATGGCGTCGAATTCTTGCCGGAGACCTTGCACGCCTGGTAGAACATGTGCGGCAGCACCCGGCCCATGTCGGTTCCGATGAACACCTGCAGTAGGGCCGGTTTATTATAGCCGACCAGACGGACCGCTGGGAATCCGTTGCCACCGCGGTCCTTGACGGCACCGCGTGATCCTTCCGTTTGGTAGCGAGCGCGGTGCTGCTGTTCCGGTTGGGTCAGAATCTGTAGCTGTACTCGGCCGTTACGTGTCGAGCAGGGCAGCTGCGACTGCATGGTGGTGATCACATCGGACGAATTGCTGGTGAAGGTCGCGGAGGCATTACCACCGCCGGTGAGGGCAGACTGGAGTAACGGTGGCCTCTTGCCCGGGAGCCGACCGGAGAGGGGACGCGTTAGTGACGAGGACATCACTCTGTGGAGAGGAAAGCGGAAGATAGAATGAGAGAAGAGAAGATTGGTTTAGTGAATGCGTTTTGAAGGGTTGCTTTGATAGGTCTAAAGTTGATAGAAAACTGATTGTTATTTTAACAAAGCTATACAATATGTCTATAGTAGGCGGTGATTTAGGCGATGGCGCACAAGCAAAAGCACTAAGCGATAGCAAATTTACACAACAAGCTGTACCAGATTAGCAGAGTAAATATTGAAAAGCAGCTAATTCACATTCGCCCATAAATATAGATCATTCGATATGCTCCTGAAATAATGAATGCGGAGGTTTTCCTGGAAAAAATAACTGTTGTCTTCGTCAGTGTTGGAGGCAAGCTGACAGTACCGGTAAACGGCTCATATTTTGTACATTGTTTTGATACATGGCACTATACAGCCTATCACTTTCAAAATGCCCATGCACAAGCTGAACGCCAACGAAGTTTGGTAGATACTTCCATGGGGGTGAACATTTTGGAGAAAGTCAAAGAAGCGGATTCGTGTGTGGGAAGGGTCGTTGGAAACTCCCCATGAATACTTTTTGGTTGGCAACATTTTTCGACTGAATGAGCGCATAGAAGGCTTATTATAGTCACTTTTGAGCCATTCATGACTTGTCCGGGGATGAGATCTGAACTCGTGACCAAACTGGAATTTAAATCATGAATCTTCCTGTACAATCAGATTTAGCGAAAAAATGTGAGTTTTGTTTCGAGTGAATAACAATGTCTCATTATTGGGAAAAACGGTCGAACATTAGTATACTTACCATAAGTTTCGAAATACATGTTTAACTTGTTTTGGGAAGGGGTGGTGGTCATTTATGATTCAGGTAAGAAAGTTGAACCAGGAAAAGTAAGGTAAGGTAAAGGTAAGAATGTTGTGGTTGTAATAAATGCCAACACCGAGATAGGGGAAATTGGGGCAAGACGGCCACCATAGCGAAACTCGAATAAAATTAAATAAGTTTCAGAAAATTTTCCAAAGGTAGAATGTGCACCTATGTTTTTGAACTTTTTATTCGAAACTTCAATGTATACTGTGCTTTATGTTACAGTACAATGGCAAACTTAATCAATGTTAAAATATTGTTGTATTTGGAACTATTATTTTTTTGCTTTATAACCTTTCCACGTGGATGATACTCGTCTTGCCCCATACAAGATTAGATTTTCAAATCATTATAAAATGGATTATTAAAAGCGAAATTAACATGTCACAACCTCAGGAAAACATCAAACAAGGGTAAATATATGGTATTGTATTCTCGAATCATAAACATATTCAAAACTTTGCTCGTCTTTCTCCGAATGACCATCTTACCCCTCTTAAAAACATCAACATCTAATGCAAATTTTTTTTATCCGGTTTCTATACTAAGACAAAACTTTATGACTTGAAACTTGAATGTTGGGACTTGAAAATATGTTAAAGATGAAACCCGGAGCTTAAGAAAGAGATCGCTGATCGATTGGTGATTCTAGGGGCGACCAGTCCCGTTGAAATTATAAAAAATCTTATGAACGGCTAGACTTGAACGAAACGGTTGAAATATTGGATTCTCCAAACCACACCGCTCAGTGTAAAGCTTTAAATCGAGCTCATTTGCACTCATGACACACACACTAAAGTCCAAATTCCTGCCTTCTTTTTTTCGATAAGATCATGGGTAGTATAAACAACAATACGGCGCATTTCTGCAGAACCGTCGCGATTCAAGCATTGGTTACATATCTGCCATATATTTACCTTTGTTTGATATTATCCTGAGGTGTCACATTAGGGTGGGGCTTATTTTAAAAACCACTCGTTCACATGTTTTCCCATGTGGAAAATGATTATCGGGACTAATTAAGTAACATATTAAAAATTGAGCTTTCAATATCAAATAAAATATATGCTTCTATTTAGTAGTCAAAACGTAGTAGTCCATTTAAACTAGAACCTATTTATTAGAATGGTAATATAAGTCGAAACAAGAATAATTAACAATACAATGTGGTAAATGTATAAATTCACAAACAAAAGTTTAATAACTTGATGAAAAGAACAATTGTTGAAAAGTATCCATGAGCAGAATTGTTAATCGCTAACGGTAGGTAACCATTGCAGACGTTAACGCTGATGTTATCGATGGTTATCGATTAATTTTTATGAATCTTATGTCGTAATATGGTTTACCTTTATTTCCCTCTCTCGTTTTCTACCTCTCTCTCATTCTCATATTTACTCTCACGCTGCATCTATCACTGCAAGGATGCTGATTGCGATAGATCAATATGCAGAAACATCGCTATGCCATATATCTCGAGAGCAAGTGAAGATATCGTCAAATGGTCAAAATGTTGTTTACTTATAGAAGCAACACCTTTAAATGTCAACGAAACAATCTAAATTGTTGATATGTTACTTAATTAATCCCAATAATGATTTTCCCCATGTCCCACATGTCTCCGAACAAATTTAAAAAAAAATAAGCCCCACCCTAGTCGCACCTGCAACAAGCGTACCAATCAATCGGCTCTAATCAAATTAACATGACTCGAAACCGGAATTGGTTCAGCCGAAATAAGCTTTCGCACCTTGTAAAGCAAACACGGCATGGCATGGTCTATTTTTTGCGGAGCCTGAAGTAAATTGACATGAGATCGTGGATTAAATAAATCAACGCTAGCAACCAATAATACAGCAAATTAATACAAACCAAATCACTATGGGGAATCTCCATACCAAAATATGTTCTGGCAAATTTGATATTAGCCTGAATAAACAATTAAACATCTTTTGACGTAGGACTACGTCTGAGATTTCTAGATTGGGGTACATTTTGTGAAAACCGAAAATGGAACATGTAACGAAATTATGAAAGATTTTGAACGTTAATAACTCAGCTGCCCTCAGACCAATTTCAATAATTTTATCTCCAACCGATCAGAAATATTTCTACGCATCGATAGCAATGCATTTGATTGTTGATTTTCAACAAGAAACTATTGAAAAACTGGTAAATGTCATGCAATGTTCAAAAGCGCCGAAATAACTAACAAATCTACCAATTACGTACATGCAAATGCTGGTTCCCCAACACAGTCATCAGAGAATCGTTAGTGGACGAAACAAGTCGAAGTGGCATTCGCCTCCGATCTTCAGGCGTGTGTGAATAAGCAGGATGCAATGGCGTAAAATATTGCACACTCATCGCCATATTCCGAACCACACGCCCCCAACGACCACACAAAATGCTCTCCAGAGTTGTAATCTTGTAACCCAACTTGGAAGCAAGTGCACTCTACGAAGCACCCGTGTCCAGTAGCATCCGGGTCGAGACTCTTCCAAGGGCCCATTTGTCGTAACACCTTCACAACCAACAAACATCAAGTAACCATAGGTAAACATTAAACCTCAATGACATTTTGGAAAATCTCTGATGTATTTTTCATTTTCACTCATCTAGTCTATGTGACAACAAAGCAACTAACCCAGCAAAACGGTAGCAACCAATCTTTTAATCCTGAAGCAACCGGGCCCAGACTCTTCTGAGTGCCCATTTCTCGTAGCGAAATTGAGGTATCCTTCGCTGCGCCATTCCAACCACCGGGTTAACCCGTGTCCAACAGCAGCCGCGCCGAGACTCTTCCGAGTGCCCATTCATCGTAGCACGGGTGAGATTTCCCTCGCTACGGCTTTCCAACCTGTCGGAGACACCAGTTCAACCCCTGTCCACCAAGCAGACGGGCCGAGACGAGTGCGCAATCATTGAACCGAAGAATATGGGATTGTCCGGTCCAATTTGCTGATCCAGTTGCCTACACGTCATCATCATCTTCCAGAGGCTTTAAGCCTGTACTATCATTGGCCCTTTTCAGGGCCTCCAAGATTTTCCAAAAGAGTTAAATTTCTGGACATGTCCCAACTAAAATTCATATCATACTAAAGAGTATAAGCATAGTCATACTAAAGAGTATAAACAGAGAGAAACCCGCTCAAATTCCTATTCCTACACAAAACACAAGCTCCTGCTGCAGTTAACTAATAACATTTATTATATAAGACCACGTAGTCCTACGTCACCATTGCGTACAACCCCATAGGGCTGTCCCTTATAGTTTTTGAGATCCTGAACACATTTTGATCTCGATGTTCTAAAGGCTCAATGTAGCACGTTCCCGACCTATTCATCAGATCATCAGAGCATCTGCAACATGGAATGGTATCAATCGGATATTTAATGCTTTCCAAACCTTTCTGGAGTTCAGATCTTTAAGTTCTGCAGGCTCAACGAAGCCTTGAGCAATGTCCTGAAAATCTGTATGAGTCCGTGAAGCTCCAGAGAGTCTCTTGACAATATGGAATAGTATCAATAATGTATTTAATGCTTTTCAAATTATTCTGGAGTTAAGATCGCTAAGTTCTGCAGGCTCAATGAAGTCTTGAACATTGTCCTGCTAATTTGTATGTGTCCAACATGAACATTGTGGAATGGTATCAATCAGATATGTTATGCTCTACCAATTTGAATTATTCTAGAGTTAAGATTTTCAAGTTCTGCAAGCTCAATGAAGTCTTGAACATTGTCCTGAAAATCTTTAGGAGTCTGTGAAGCTCAAGTGATTTTAATTAAATTTTTAATGCTTTCCAAACTATTCTGGAATCAAGATCTTGAAGTTCTACAGTCTCAATGAATTATTGAACAATGTCCTTAAATTCTTTAGGAGTCCTTGATTCTCAAGAGAGCTTGACAACATGAACAACATGGAATGGTATCAATTCGAAGTCTACCCGAGCAGGAGAAAATAACTAATGAATACCTAATTCTGATCTGATACCAAAATTTGGTATTGACCAGCATGACATAAGAGGTAAAATACCAAAGAATAATACCAACAAATTGCATGAAAAACACTTTGTAAACAACTAAAACTGATATTTGAATACCAAAAAAATACCTGTGTGGTATTGTTTTGGTATTGCATTATCATAATTTGGTATTGGAATGGTATTGTGGGAACATTTTGTTGGTATTATCTTTTGGTATTTTACCTCTTATGTCAGGCTCATCCATACCAATTTAAGGTATCGAGATATTCGTTCATGCTCGGGTAACGCTCTACACATTATTCTAGAGTTAAGATCTTCAAGTTCTGCAGGCTCGATGAAGTCTTGAACAATGTCCTGAATATCTTTATGAGTCCGTGTAGCTCCAGAGTGTCTTTTGACAACATGAAATAGCATCAATAATATATTTAATGCTTTCCAAACTATTCTGAAGTTCAGATCTTGAAGTTCTGCAGGCTCAATGAAGCCATTAGCAATGTCCTGAAAATCTGTATGAGTCTGTGAAGCTCAAGAGAGCTTTAATATCATGGAAGGATAATAATAAGATTTTTAATGCTTTCTAAAATATTCTGGAGTTAGCTAGCTCTTGACAACATGAAATAATATCAATAAGATTTTTATTGCTTTCCAAATCCAAAAAAGGAGTCCTTTCCATCTCAAAACATTCAATTTTACATTGGAATTGGAATAAACATCATGGAATGGTATCAATTCAAGATCTAATGCTTTACAACTTATTCTGGAGTTAAGATCTTCAAGTTCTGCAGGCTCGATGAAGGCTTGAACAATGTCCTGAATATCTTTATGAGTCCGTGAAGCTCCAGAGAGCCTCTTGACAACATGAAATAATATCAATAAGATTTTTAATGCTTTCCAAATTATTCTGGAGTTCAGATCTTGACGTTCTGCAGGCTCAATGAAGTCTTGAACATTATTGTGAAAATCTGTATGAGTTCTTGAATCTGAAGAGAGCCTCTTGACAACATGAAGTAGTATCAATAAGATATTTATTGCTTTCCAAATCAAAGGGAAAAGAGGAGTCCTTTCCATCTCAAAAAAATTCAGTTATTACATTGGAATAAATTGGAAAGGGACACTTTCATCCCTTTAACCACGGGGAACTGGTTATGTATCAATTGCTTAGTTTGAAAATGGCTGTTTCTTATGATTGTTTTGTAATCTAGAACCTTAACCCCTTCCCTTCCCATCAGTGTTGGCTAAAATCAAGATCAGAAAATCAAAATCCGCAATCTTTCAAGATCAAAAACCACAGGCACCAATATCACAAGCCATCATCACCACGAAAATCACACGTGATTTTCGACCAATAGCAGCCGTGATTTTCGATTCCCAAAATTAACCAGCATCAATATCAACCAAGATCAAAATCATCGAAAATCATAGGATTAGAAGATATGTTAAATTCTAGAGTTTGGGGCATTCCGAAATTCAAGTCAACATTCCGGATGAATTTAAAATGGTGGGGTTTCAACCCAATATGGCTTCCACAAATTCAAGATGGCGGACTAAAATCCAATATGGCGGCCCCCGGACAGGGAATATGCATCTAAACCCATGCAATATGGGTATCTACGGAATGGGCTTGACGAGAGGAAGTGGAAAATTGACATCCGCCGCCATTTTGGAATCCAAGATGGTGGACCAAAATCCAATATGGTGGCTCCTGACAGGGAATATGCATCTAAGCCCATGCAATATGGGTTCTACGGAATGGGCTCGATGAGAGGAGGTGGAAAATTGACATCCGCCACCATTTTAAAATGCAGGGACAGGGAATATGCATCTGAACCCAATATTGCATGGGTTTCAATGCATTTTCCTTGTCCATGGACCGCTATATTGAATTTTGGTCCGCCATCTTGGATTCCAAAATGGCGGCGGAACCACTTATCGAGCTCATTCCGTAGATACCCATATTGCATTGGTTTAAATACATATACACTTCCCGGAGGCCGTCATATTGGATTTTGGTCCGCCATCTTGGATTCCAAAATGGCAGCGGATGTCAATTTTCCACTTCCACTTATCGAGTCCATATTGCATGGGTTTAGATGTATATTCCCTGTCCGGGGGCCGCCATATTGAATTTTGGTCCACCATCTTGGATTTCAAAATGGCGGTGGATGTCAGTTTTTTACTTTGTCTGTAATACCAAGCTATTGATTTTCCATTTGGCTTTTTGTTGCCTCAAAATCAGCTAAGGTTAATATCAGCCTTGATTTTCTGCTGTGTGATTTTGCTACTCTCAAGATCAGCAGTGATATTCGGCCGTTCCTGATTTTGGATTTTTTTGATTTTTTTCTATCACTGCTTCCCATGAGGATTATCAATCTACCAACGGTACTTATTTAGGCTTCTCCGTGTGCTCATTATTCACGTCCAGAGATATTCTTGAGATTCCAACTGAACGACAAATGAAAAACAATTAAAATACTACAGTAACGACCTGATTTTGTCAGCCCCCTTTTTGAAATCTGTTCTACATTTTCTACGGATCCCATGCGCTTTTTCAATTGCACCAACGTTTACCTTAACCATCTTGAAGATAAATTAGAAATATTTTGAATATCGGTAATGTGAAATTATTGAAAAAATAAATGTCTGATGCGGGAAGGGCTGACATAATCGAATCGTTAATGCATTAGTTTTAAACAGAGACTTTTTTTTATGGATTCATCTGGTACTTTTTTCAAAAACAATTTTTGCACCTCAAAACAATGAAAATTCTTCTGGGAAGGAGAGGGTTAAATTATGAGGCATCTTAGGCTACGCTAGATCTATACTAATAGAGGAGAACGTTCGTGCTGTTTACTATAATACATAGGCATATATGATGGGTAGGTAATGAGAGACAATAATGTGAGAAATTCGATCCTTACTTCGCGGCCGGAGCCCGCGTCGCTGCTGCCGCCGCCGCCGCCCTTGTCACTACCACGCTCGATGCCGGCAAACTGGATGGTAATAATGGTCCTACTGTCGTTGTACTACCGCTCGATGACGCACTATTATTAGTAATGGATGAAGGTGAGGATGGTGGTGCGATTGTAATGGTCGATTTGCTGGTCGCCGCCTCACGGCCGCCAACCAGCGATTTCCCAATAACCGGGATAATGATCTTCTGCGGAACCGTCACCGTATGGATGACTGCGCCGCTGGCCGTGCTCACTGTTAGTAGGTCTCCTCCCATGTAGGTTTTCGACTCTTCCAGCTCTAGGTGGGACCGTTTGAGGGAACTGACACTGGCGGTACTGCCGCTGCGGCTGATGGCACCGAACGAAGGGCCACTGACGACGACAAACTCGTTCTCTTCGATTGCGTCTTCATTTCCACCGGATAGGAAGCTGGAGCTACTGCTGCTGGAATGGATGATTTTTGGGATTTGGTTTTATGTGGCGAGAATGAATGAAATGTACACCAAGCACAAGGAGCACACACGCGTGTGAAAAACAGATAGATGACACGACGTACACATGAAAGTAAGTGAAGAAATGGTTCGTTTTGTTAGTAACATGATGCGTCTATAGTGTAGTGAGGACAAGGAGATGAGTTATGCACAATTGTCTGTAAGAACAATGAATATCATACGCGAAATTTCCTGCAGCTTCTACACACAACACTCCCCAGAATATCACACACACACAATTTTCGCGTCCTCTTATATGCAACGTGACGGCCGATGATGCACACCTCAGCAGACTCTGCTCAATCAAGAAAAACACTACTTTTCTACTGCGATCTAATCAAACTGATTACACCTATTTCTCAACAATCAAACTGTGAATAGTAAACAAACGCGTGCACTGCACACTCGCGAACCGGGCACCGGCGATTGCATTCGAAAAGTAAGAGTACCTCTCGGGAGCGTACTCGATTGTATACTGAGATCGATCGGGCGAGGAACCCGTTGAATAAAGGCGACTCCATCGACCGAGCGGGTTACTCCTCAGCAAACCGCCGACCGCACCGACGAGCGCTGGTGGCAAAACAAGTAGTGCAAATTTATCGTATTCCCGCGCTCGCGACGCCGCGGCGCATTCCTATTATATGAATGAACCCGCGGTACACCCACCACCGTTTTTGTTTGTTGCGGGGAGGCACCGGCTATCATCATCATCAACAACTAATAAATAGCAAAATAAACGACGCCGACTGGTGTGCAACGATGCAGTTTTTCATGCGACAAGGGCAATGCAAGGCGCGCGCGGGTGGTGGTTTTCACAGAGTATGGTAATTCCTAGTGGTTGGTTGAGTGAGACAACGACCACGACAAGTGGAAGATTTTCGTTTCTTTCATCGAACGAAACGTGTTTTGCACGAGATCCTCCTCCACTTGGTGACGCTTTATAAAAAAATAACTATAAGTAGGTATGCGGGCCAAGAGAGTTCGATCGGGTGCAACTGGATATCGCTGTGGAAGTCCAATAGCGAGATGATGTATTAATAGTATTCCATATATTTGTGAATCATTGATGGTGTGGTTTGCTGAAGGGAGATTTCATTGACGTCAATAGGAAGGAAGGGATACCGGCAGATTTTGTCTAGTGTATCCTAGTCCTAGTCAATTGAAAGATAGTCACGGGACTACGGGAAAATCCCGCTTTCTATGATGAATGCACACCCTGATCGAGTTGAGTCAAGCAGATTATCGTATGTATTTAAGAAAAAAGTTTCCACTGTCTTTATCAGTGTCGGATTTCTGAAGGAAAAGGAATACAGGATTCAATAAAAACTTGACTCGTCGTGTTAACCTGAAACCGAAATCATCAGTTCCTACAAAGATCAACAGGTTTTTTTGGCTGGTTTAACGACTGGAAAAATCCGTGCTTCCCAATGGTGAGCAAGAGATTTTGAACAACTTTCACAAAAAAAAAAATCGAAATGAAACCAAGAACACCCTAAGTCAACTCAGAAAAAATGCTCTCAAATGAGAAATTCAAGAAAAAGAATGTTCCTTCTACAAGATAGGCAAATTTGTCGAAGATCATATGTCTCTATTTTAGAAAGTTTTTAGCACATTAGAAAGTAAAATTCCAAAATATCAATTAACCCATTAAAGCCTGAATTATTTCGTATTGATAATAGACATGTAGTAATATATTCTAAAAATTGTTTTAACGACATTTTAATTACAATGTACGGTCACAAGCTTTTGTTAAAAACACGGTGGGTCATATGCACCAAAAAAGGACCGTCTTTAAAATCCTTGGGGGCTCTGGTCTACAGGCTTGATGGAGCCTCACTCGCGAGTTTGAAATGAGTCGAGCGTAGCATTTTTCTGAGGAGTAGAATGCCTACTGCCAAATCATTCCACTGAGCTTCAGAGCTTGTGAGCGAAGGGGGATAAAATGAGAGTGAGGTTTGCTGCCATTCATGTTCATGTTTTCTATCACACGCTCTTACTCTCACTCTGGGTGAACTCTGAGCTTCTTGCGTCAACCAAAAAAGTCATCCGGGGTCTCGAAAAGTGCACCTCACGTCAAATCATCCTCTCGCTGAAGTTCACTCTCCCTCTCTCTCGAGGAGTTTTTGTTTGCTTCTTCCATATTCTTACCGCCACTCACTCGAGGTGAGGGCTGGCTAAACTCGCAGGACAAGAGTGTTTTGAAACCTCCAGTGAGTTTGAGGATTTTCAGCAAGCCTGGGACTACGTCCTACGGGAAGGTACGGGAGGTAAATTGCGTGCGTCACAAAAAGGCGTTAGGTTTTGAACGCTTATAACTTCGTCATTTATGGATGAAATTAAAATCCAAATACACCAATCGATGGGAAATAACTTTACAAATAAAATACTTTTTAAATTTTCCATTTAAATATTTTGAAAAAAAAAATGATAATTTTGTTCCTGTATTAAGAAAAAAAAACGCTTTCCCTAACCCAGTCGCCATAATCGAGTACCACTTGGTTGCACATCATTTTAGAGAAAATTCAAGTTTTTTGTGCTTATTAGAGAGATTTTTAGCCGTTGGCTAGTTCATCTCTATAAAATAAGGGGCCCCAGAGGGAGGTTCTGTCTGCAAATTTTGTTACGGAGTTGGCTCACAATTCACACAATTAAAACAGATTCCAGTAAAACACTAACAATACAGGCAACGAAAAAAAAAGCAATCTGGTACATCAAAGTTATGAAGGGTTCTGAAAGAGATCGGAGCGTCCTTGAGGAAATAAATAACTGTCCGCAAACGTAGCACATTCTGGTTCCGAAAACGTAGCACATTCTGTGGAACTGCGTCCCACCAAAGCTATGTGAGATCCTTGTATGGCCTGTCCTAAGACGAGAAACCACCTTCGTAGTTTCGACATATCCGTCCATTTGCTCGTCGTTCCTTTGATTCTTCGGATGAAGAAGGATTGGGATTGCCACCACTCTGCTACCCAGGCTTCCCACATTTTGCGGACTATTCTTCGCTTTATGTCCTGTAGTGGCACTTCGTCGGTGTAACGGGGGCCAGCTGGTCCAGACCCTGCCAGGTTGTCGGTTGGCTTCGCTATTTCCTGGGATACCGCAGTGCCCAGGGATCCGGGAAAACACCGTGTTCGGAGGTGTTGCCTCCACGATACCCTGTATCTAGGGTAACGAATCGGATAGCACCAGTATGCAACAAAGAAGGCCACAGCTTCGGCGGAGAAAACCGAGCATTGTGGCGGTAGGCTGCTACTCATCGGTGCTGAAATTCCGGCTACTCCAATTCCAACCCCGGCTCGGGAAAGCGACGTGTATATGTGGGCATGGGTTCGGTAGTCCGAACCTAGCAGTTCGGCTACTATTCTCTTCAGCGCTACAGAGTTATCTCCAGACTTGAACCTGCTCTTTATCCGACTCTCGATTTTTGGTGGAGATATGCGACAACTTTTGTCTCCGTACCAGTGAACCACTGAGGGGAGCTCCGAATTGACAGTCATGCGGAGGAGTCTGTTCCCCTCATCGAGGAGAAAGATCCCTGTCATTTCGTCATTGCTGTAAAGGCAGCGGCTTTCGTTGCAATTGCTGCGGTTATACGATGGCGGAAGGGCAGAATACCCGCTTCGATGCGTGCGGCATCGGCGGGCGTTGACGGAAGAAGACCGGAGATAATCCGAACGTAGGTGTTGAAAGTTGGTGCTATTATCTGTGGGTTCGATGACGGCACTTGCAACCCGGAAACGAGTGTCACGATTGTTAGACCGGTGGAGGCGAGAGATGGTGCGGATCAAGTTGATCCTACTGCGACAGTCGTTCTTGATTGCCTTAAAGTACTGCTCGAAGTTGAGGGACCGGTCAACAAGTGCCCCCAGAATACGGACCGTCTTCTTCAGTGGTATGGGCTGGCTTTGAACTTTGATAGGTGGCCCGCTGACGCGGTACCGGGATGGACACACTTGGCACCTGACGCTTTTGTTGGCCGAAAGTTGGAAACCTACCGCGCTGGCCCACCTGGCTACAGCGGAGACTGCTGCCTGGGCCTTGATCCTGTTACGTGCTGCTGTTGGGCCGGTAGTTACAAGAAGTACATCGACAGCATACACGAATATGTAAACAATTTTCGGCAGTGCCTCCGAAAACTCCGTTCATGGCCACAAGGAAGAGGGTAACGGCGATAACTGAACCTTGTGAGACGCCCGTCTCTTCTCTGAAAAGCTGGGACTTCGTGTTGCCAACTGCGACTCTGAAAGAACGATCGGTTAGGAAATTTTTGATGAAGTGGACCATGGGTCCACACAGACCCCAGTTGGCAAGCTGCTCTAAGACGAGGGGCGTCCACGTCCTGTTGAAGGTCTTCGATATATCCAGCAAGACGATCTCGGTGTGGAGACCGCTATCGTTGGCACTCTTGAGGACCTCCGCTAATGTTGCGAAATAGGTTGACACTCCATAGCCTGTTGACCATTCGCTCCAAGACCTTGGCCATACAGCATGTCAATGCTATTGGTTCACAGGTTATTTCATTTGCTTTTGGGATGGGAGTGAGATCTAGAAAGAACTCTTAGAGATTTTAGACTTTCAATCCAAGTCACTTGTGGGGGTTCAAATTTAGAGTAGAATTTTTAAGTAGCTCTGTGTAAAAGTTCAAATCAATTGTGAAGATTCCAGGATCTGTGAAAAATAACAAAGGGAATTGAATTTTGAGGGTACAACTCCAAAGGAATTCTGAGAATAATTTTAAGGGATTTCCAAGTGCATCACAAAACGAATGTCTAGAGCATTTTTAGGAAATTTCTAAGTAAAATTTTAGACGTTCCAGATCTCGTAGATTCCAAAATCCAGCCACGCCATTTTAGCAGTTCACACTTGAATTTTTACGTTTTAGATGTTGGTAGCATATCACGCAATCAGATTGCCGATAGAAGCTATTGTCCCGAGTGCTTTGTTCATTGCATG